CATGGTAGCTCCAGCATGAAGTAGATACTTAACAATTAGTGAAGGAAGAAAGAAATTTCCAAATGTAAAATATAGTTACACACCTAGGGATATTTCCAGAAATCTCATTATAGAAAATTACTACAACCACCCAGTCACTGCCAATTCACCAACAGTGCTAAAGGAACCAACCTTTTTTTTTTTACATTTTTTTATTTATTATTGAGAGACAGAGAGAGACAGGGCGTGAACGGGGCAGGGGCAGAGAGAGGAGGAGACACAGAATCCGAAGCAGGCTCCAGGCTCTGAGCTGTCAGCACAGAGCCTGACACGGGGCTTGAACGTACAAATCATGAGATCATGACCTGAGCTGAAGTTGGATGCTTAACCGACTGAGCCACCCCGGCACCCCAGGAATCAACCTTTGAAAGTTAGAAAAGGCTAGGAGGAGGCCTTACTCTGAAAAATGTTTAGTTCGGTCAGTTTTGAATACTAAAAATTTCATTTTGTTATGAAGTAGGGTCAAGTTTCTAAAAGTAGTTAAACAGGTTCTGATAGGCTGTTGTCTCAAAATGTGTCCAGGTATGCTGGAACCTATCTGGACATGATGCTTGCTTTCCCTTCTGGAAGCAGCATTTAAAGCAACTCTCATTGGCCAGTGTCACACGATGCACCCAGCGGTTCCAGTTGAAGCCAGTTTAAATGCCTGTTCAGGGGCGCCTGGATGGCTGAGTGGATTAAGCGTTCCACTCTTGATTTTGGCTCAGGTCATGATCTCATGGCTAGTGAGATGAAGACCTACATCAGGCTCTGCGCCAAGGGCACAAAGCCTGCTTGGGATTCTCTCTCTGCCCCTCCCCTACTAGCATGTTCTCTCTCTCTCTCAAAAAATAAATAAATAAACTTTAAAAAATAAAATAAATTGCCTGTTCATAGGCTCAAGGAAGCCTAACCTTGGCAGAGTCATAGCTGACGCTCCAGAAAGCAGTCTCCCCAAAAGGCATCAGAAGGAGAAATGGCCATCATTTATCTGTGTTGTTGGAAGGGCAAAGGAGGGGAGTAAGTAGGAAGCTGATCAGAGGACAGTGAAAGGGAAAACAATTTCCACTGCACTGAAGCAATTAGATGAAAATATGCTGTAAACCAATGGGCTCTTCCTGCTTCTGGGGGGTGGGGGGAGAGCTGGAGTGGGGGCTGGAAGAGCCTACTCCTTCCGGAGACACTCTTTGAAATTCTGCTCCCAGCCCCTCGGGCTCCACTGTCACCTACTTGAGGCATTTCCCCTCCAAGATGGGAGGCCCACCACTTTGCGCTCATTTAAAAACCAGATCTTGAATTAGAGGAGCAATTTTAAAGCCAGTGCTTTCAAAAACTTAAAAGAATGATATTGTAGACCTTTTATGAATCCTCTACAGGTTGTGTGTTTTGATAGTATTTACTGAGGAATGTGTGCATTTTTATTTGACTAAATCTAGTTATATCCAATTTCTGACACTTAAGCGTTCATAAAAAAAATAGATTAGTAAGGGAATGACATTTAACTATTACTTTTTACTTAGAACACCCCATCTATCTGAAAACTAATACATGCAATCTTATCTTTCTGATTTAAAAAGAATTGTAATTTAAAATTTTTTGGTATTTAGAAGAATGTTTCCCATTGGCAAAAGCCTCTTATTAGCGTTAACTAATAAAAACACACAAAGCATGCCATTTCTCACTAAGATGACATTCAAAGTTGTTCCCCACCCTCTCCCCCAGAACAAAAAAAAAAAAAAAAAAAGGTGGGGGGGGGGATGATAAACTATACTTTTGCTTGGGATCCCTAGCTCTTTCTTCCTGAGATCCCTCACATCTCATAAAGGCCCTTTATTGTCGGTGCAATGTTATACACTTAGGAAATTGAGGCGTATGTACCTAGGGTATTTTTTTCGTTTGTTTTCTCTTCCAGCATTTGATCACTGACTGGTGAACTGTTTGGGCCCACAGAGATCTCTAGACCACCAGCTCATGTATTTGAAAGGCATCTGTTTATTTTGAAAATGCAAATGTGGCCTACCTCAAAGACTGACAAGCAAGAAATGACCCACTGAGCAAGGGGAGAGGTTTCCAGTCTGGAGCCCTGTCCCTCCCTCTACCATACCGAGATCACTCGCTGTCAAAACCACTTAAACAAGCTCCAGGAATCTGAGTGAAGGGCCCACAATTAAAATGAACAGGCTTGTGTGTGTGTGTGTGTGTGTGTGTGTGTGTGTGTGTGTGTGCGTGCGTGCGTGTCCTTCCCTCCTTCCAAGAATTAGCCAGGCAGATCATTTCTCACCTAGTGTAAAGTAATGATGAGGTCAGTTACAAAAGGACTCTGCACCTTTGAAATGGTGGCTCCTAGACCAAGGGCTGCCTGGAGGAGGGCCCTATAACAGGGACACTGGCCTCTAGTAGCAGCCCAGTCCTGGGGACAGATTCTCCGAGAAAGCCCAGGAAGGTTAATTCCCCGACTTTGATCTCTGTCAAGGCATACCAGCAAGAATTAATTTACATTTCAGATGAAAAAGGTTGACAGCATGAAAAGGCATCTTGTTTCTGGTATGTGAATGTGCCGTAATAGATCGGGAATTCTGAAAGGAAGTTCTGAGGAAGCTAAAGGGATAAGCTGTGCGGCTGCTTTTATTGGGAAGGAGATGAAAGGCAAACAAATTTCAATATGCGCTGCTCTGTAGCAACATGTAGGCCAAATGCTTCCTAAATTTCAAGGGCTGCTCTTTTAAAAATATATAACATATCTTTGCAACACTACAAAAAAAAAAATGCTATGGGCCAGAACTTGGAATACAAAGAAACACATTCCATAGAATCTATATTTCCAATGAAATGATTTGTTGAAAAAAAAAATTACAGAATAAGTTTCAAAAACAATCAGAATGGCTGTGCTATGATAACATCCCTAAGCCACTTCCCTGCAGGCTTCACAAGTAAGGGAACCACTACTTGGCGCTTGTTCTGCCCAGGAATATTCTCGTGGGGTGAAGAAGAGCTTGTAATAAGAAGATTATGTTTTGAGAAGAACACACCCGAAAACAGAGAAGTCAGAAGGAGCTGCTTTGCTTTTTAGATCAACACAACCATGCCTTCCGATATAAAGATACAGAAAACACTCTCAAGTAAAAAGAACTCCCAACACAACTGCAAATGCAATCACCCTCTCCATGCATCTTTCTGCTGACACAAAACCAGCACCTTGATGCCTGTGTTGGCTGAAGGCAAAGGAACTCTGCCTGCCACACGACTTCTAAGAGGGAGAGGTGGCTCGAGTCCCACTCTGAACGTCTTCATGTCTGCCCAAGCCTCTGGAGGGAGACACGGTTAATGGAAGTTCCTGATGCCACCTGATAAGGAGGAACACTAGTTGCCAGGCTACAAAAAAGGGGTGCCTGCAAAGCTTTAAAACAAAGAAATACCTTAAAGACGTATTCTCTCCAGTTCCACTAAACAAGATCATCCTTCCGTGGTACCTACCGCACAGGTACTCTACTGGAAATATGCAGTCATGACTGGCCTGATATGGTGATGAAGCAAACCTGTCTGTGTTTTCATGCAGACCTTACTCAGCAATAACAGAGTGCAAACAGGGAAGCCTCTGAAGATCATTTTCAGACACGGAAAATCTGACTTATGATCCTACAACCTGTACTCAGTGGATCAACGATAGATAATTCAAAGGTTGTATTTTAAAACATATGTTGGGCTTTGGGCCAAGCTGCAAGATCCCAAATCAGTCGAGGAGACTGTGGGGGTGGAGGAGGGTGTGGTGTGGTGAGTGGAGGTGGGCAACAGGGAGCAAATGCACTTTGAGTTGTCTTTCTTAAGCTGCAACTTCAATTGCATCCTTCTTCCTGAACTCTTTGAAGTCGTAGAGCTTAAAATTCCTAGGGGATGGTGTTAAAAGTTACACATTTGCATTTAAATGACACCCCGTTCCTTCCAAATATTTTTTTTTCTGAATGAAGATGTCTGGCCTCAAAGGTGGCCTAAGAGAGTTCTGAGAAGCGTCCTTGGAGCCAGGTCTGGACAGGGACCATCTCAGAAACGGTGCAGCTGTTTTACTTAGGAGTTTGGTTCAAGGCAACAGGCTCTATCCTTTGAGCCTGTAGAGTCCACTGGACTAGCCCCTTCTCTCTCATTCTGTCTCTACTGTCAGAGTTCCAAGCATGCTCTGGAGCCTACTTCTTCCAGAGCCTCAATCAGGTTATACAGCTTTCAAATGACGATGGAAACCCAGCCTGGCAGCCGCCATGAATATTACCATTTGCAGAAGAACAGAGCCACCCAGGAGCCAGGGAGAGGTCAGATGAGCCAGGAACCAGAGCTCAGAGTACTCACGTGGCCAGGCAAAGCTGAGCCACAGCTTACCCCAGGGTGGGGGTAGGACACAGAGGACACCCCTAGCCACATACAGGCCAGGGCGTGGGAAATTTCATTTGCCGGGGAAGTCCCTGAGCTGTTCTTATTGCTGTGATGCTGAAAGATGGGTCTTGCATATAATCAGAGAAGTTCCAAGGTTATTAGGCACCTTCCATACTTAACCACACTTTAGCCAGTACTCTTGTTTCACAGATGATGGCCGCGTGACTCCCAGAAGGAAAGGAATTTGTTCAGTTGCCAGTATGTGAAGCTGACTGTCCAATCTGCCTGTGTTCAACTGCTGACTCTGCTCCTGACTAGCCATGTGACCGTGGACAAGTTACTTCGCTTCTCCGTGCCACAGTTGCCCTCTCGGTAAACCAGGACTATGAGAGCACTTACTGCGTGCATCTCTCCACACGCATGGCAAGCAGTGAGTGGCCACTGTTAGCCCTGCCATCGTCACGCAGGGCTGTGTCAGAACAAGGACTAGAACCCCCACAAGGACTTTACCTCTTATTCCGGTGCTCCTGAATTCGTAACCTTTCAGCCTTCCTAAACTCATATGAACTTAATCACGGAATATTTTCAAGTGGACGCTATGAAAATGATGTTTTAATTACCTGCTTGAATAGGAACCGCAGACTCACTCCTTCTGTTGCTTATTTTCTTAAATTTCCTCCGAGCATCATATCCTCTCCAGGCTAAAAATATAAAACCATGTGCTGGGAATGACATTAATTTAAGAATGTGCCAGAGAATTGATATAAGCTGTTTTCCCTCCAATCTACTACCCCTCTACTCCTCCCTCCCGCTTTCTCACTGAACAAAATAAGCAGAGATACGTGAGCGATGCTGGGGAAGAGAGGCCTCTCTGTACTCTTAGCTCGGCCTCCAAGATGCTTCTCAGAAGGAGTTATTTTTACTCAGGCAGTGAGTTTCCAGAACACTCTGGATTCTACTTGTGAATCACTTGGGACCTCCATCTCAGCTGAGGTGCTTCCCTGTCATCCCAACCCGCAGAGGAAGCTCCATTTTCAGGACTTGGGGGTAGTTTGTTGTGATGGTGGGAACGAACTGTTCCGGAACAGCCTGACCTGTCCAGTTTTTTTATTGGGGGCAAGGGGGAGGTATGAACATGAAATTTGAAGGAGTGAAAAATAACAATGGGAGTCAAGGGGAATAGCACGACACATGCTTCTGGGGAGGGTGAACCACATGCCAAGAGCTGCTTCAGGAGAAGAAAATAGACGGCAGAAAGGCAAAAGGCAAGGAAATGGATGCGGATAAGAGAAAGGAAATTCCTGGGGGTGTGCTGGCTCCTGTAGAAAGACTGGGGCATTCAGCTGCCTACCAGGGCATGGCCACCTCGCCCTTCTGTCCCTCCCATTAGCATCACAGCCTTCTGTGGTGCTGAGTGTGGTCATGAAGTCCAGAGAGGACGACGTGATTCTGAGTTATGAGGACATGAGGGAAACTGTCCACTGTGTACAAGATCTGACGCTTTCATGCCCACTCATCAACAGTGCAGGAGCTCGGATGCTGTTTGTAACACAAATGACACACACATACATGTGCAAAGAGACACTGGATGGGCGTGGCGTATGAGAGGGCCTAGTGATTTATTCTCCAGGTTGAAAAGCTTTGCCTGTGCTAGAAAAGCCTTTGGGAAATGGCATTAGTGATTCTGATGCTGAGAACGTGGTGATGGGCCTCAGGTGTGTAGTACACATCAGTCATCTGGGAGAAGGGGCACATGCCTGTGTGATCTGGGTTTTCCCTCGGCCGCTTCACACCACCTCTACCTTGCCACTCATCACGGTGTGTTGTGATGGCTTGTTTGCTTATGTGGAGGTGAGAGACCACAGCAGTCTTGCTCATGGCTAGATTCCCAGCATCTAGCACAGGGCCTAGACTGCAACAGGCACTCAATAATATTTGCTGAAGCAAGGAAGAAAGGAAGCAAGAAGGGAAGGGAAGGTACGAGAAAAAGATGAAATGCCAAGACTCAGGACCATTTACCTGACTGGATGGCAATGGCCCCCTTCTCTCTCTTCTCTCTGACTCGTCTGTATCTCCTGGCTCCAAGCCACCCCTTGGCATATGCTTGCAGCACAACCACTCTGCCTATGACTTCTCGTAGCAGCAAATTCAACTGCTCGACGTGGTAGTATTTAAGAAAAACCTGAAATGAGATATTACTTTTAGCATTACATATAGGCTCCTAAACAGAGATCCAGTCTACTCAAGAGTATTATTAATAAAAATACTAAAACCATTATCTAAATAAAGTTTACAGTGACTTGTTTTATGCTAATATTACTGACTGCTTGGGAGTAAACACATTCTTTTCCCTTCTAAGGTTGAGCCAATTCTTGATTATTGATGTGAACAGTGAGATTAATGGGGTTTAGGAGATCCTAAATGTTCTCCAAATCTGCCTCATATCTGCCAGGAGTTCTATATTCTCAATTTGATTTTTACTATCTATCTCCACAGCCCTTGATGGAGGCACTAACCACCAGAACTGACCCATGGCCAGTAGTGGACGTTTGGGAGAAGGACGTACAGGGCCCACAGTGATCTAAGTCCCGCTGAGGAGCAACTGTGTGGTCAGGCTGCCACTAGCTTTGTAGGACAATTCAGAATGGATCACGAAAACCTGGGATGCAGCGACAGGATGTTCCAAATGAAAAGCTATACACATTGAGGCTACTAATCAGGGTGCACAGTAAAACAACACAACAAGAGTCTAATGAAAAATGGACAAAACTGTAAAAGATACTTATTATGGTCACTAATAAGATTTGTCTATTTCCACGAGGTGCTAGGATAAGCAGCATTTAAATTAGAGGGACATTTTTAAATGAGCTCAACGTTCTCATTCTAGAAATATTACAGGGTTCTCTCAAATTACATGTTGAACGGGAGGCAAAGCTTCCTCTTCTTGTCCAGAGGCCCAAGGACCATTCCTGACCCAGGATCAGCAAAGATCACCGTTAGGCTGGGGTCTTGCCTGCTAAGCCGCACAGCTTACAGAGCCAGTCATATCACTGGGGACAAGAGACAAAGGTACAGAGTAGAGCATCACAGGTGACAGTGTGAACAATAAGGAGAGAACTACCTTTGTTTTTCCCAGCACCCAGTGATCTAATCTGGACTTTTCCAAGATAGCAACACAGCTCTCTTTGCTAGCAACAGGTGTTTCATGGGCTTTGAATGCTAAGTAGTAATACCTACAAAATAAAAAAGTAAAATAAAACATTTTTAGTTATCATTTGATATAGTACAGTAGATATACTCTGGACCCACTGTCGTGCTTTGGTTTTTGACAGTAAATATTTCTTGAGCACAAATAAAAGTATACTAGGTAGTGAGAGGTATACAACTTATGCTTATTAACTTAGCTCTTACTTGCTTTTAAATTTTCTGCTACATGTATTTCCCTTTTAATATTGCTTTATAATTCATATTCAGTGGAATACTTAGCATCTTTTGCATGGAAAATCAAAGTATCTAATCCGTTAAGAAAACTGAAGTTCAGAGACCTCTTCTAGGGAAAGTCATTATTTTAAATGTTAGCATTATTCTAATATAATTTGTAATCCCACTGTATAAATTCTGACTCTGCCTTGAAATGTCCTCTCTGAAGCAATTTGTAGATAGCAAAAATGATCATAGCCTAATACTACTGAATCAGTCAGCTGAGGTCCCATGTCTCTAAAGGTACAGAGTAGGCATATTTTTTAATACAATCACCAAAACCACATTTGTCTTCCTAAATTACTCATTTTAATTAACTTCCATACTTTCTGGTTGGATTCAAAGAACACCCACAAAAGGGTTTTATCCCTCTCCATTTCTTTATTCTCCCCACCCAAATACACACACACACACACACACACACACACACACACACACACACACACACAGGAATATTTTATCCTTTTAGAACACCTTACCTTAGTTTTTCTTTAAAAATTTTCCAACATCTTTTCTCTGCTCTTTGCTGCCATCTATAATTAAATTCAACCCCTTAGAACTTTAATTTCCTTGTCAAAGGATTTTCCTGCCAGTCCTCAGACAAGGTTGATCTGTTATTTTGGGAATTACTATACTTTTAAATATAGGGCAGTTTTTACTTTTTAAGAAAAATTGCCCAAATGCAAAATATGACCCTTTTTCTTGCCAAATATTCCACATCTTTCTGTTTATGGAAAAATAAACATACCTGATTAGCACTTGGATCATTTAACTTTATCTTTGTGCTACAAGACTGTTTTACAAGTTAGGATATAATGCTGAATTTGCTGGAAAAAATTTGCATTCAGAGATCCTGGGGATATTTCCAAGGCTCTGAGCCTCTGTTTCTACTACTAGGAAGGAGAGGCAGTGCTCTCACAGAACCCCTGAATGGTGGTCAGGACCATGCTAGGTCATTTAGCCAAGTCCATAAACCTGCTCATAGAAGATGTTTTCTGGGGCCACGTGGGAGGAGGGACAGCTGGGAATCAGGCTTAGGGTGACAGGGGCAGCTCATGGCATTAGCACATTAGCTTTAGTTTCTCAAGGACTATAGTTTCAGTCATGGCTTCTCTGACCAGGCTCCAGCCAAAGCAAAGGACTGTGTGCTGGAATACATACGGATGGTGGGAACAGATGGCAAATCTGTGTCGGTGAATGTGTAGGGAAAGCTGAAGTACAAACAGCTTACGGTATAGGAGTCAGTGGTAAAACCAGAATTTCCGACACTCTTTCCATTAGGCCTGGCCATTTATAACATAAACAACTCTGGCTTTAATCCGCCCAGGCTTAATACTACTAATGATGATGTATTTAAGGAGAATCTAATGAATGATCAGTCCATGCGAGATATGAGAAGAATGTAAGGTATGTTCCAGCTCTCCAATCAAGGATTTATATTTGTTTTCCAGGCATCTATAGATGGTTCCTAGCAGTTTCTAATTTTCAAATAGGCAGAATGAATCCTGAACTAGCATAAATATTAGAACTTAATTTTGATTTCTGGTCCTTCAACCCAATCTCTTAATTTATTATGATGATAATATTCATATTTGGCTTGGTTCAGAAAGGGATGGGTAACAGTACTGCAAAGAAGTGAAGGTTTCAGAAAAATACTGAAAAAACATATAAGTGATATGTCTGTAGTAATCAGGTCAGATAAGTACAATGTATTTCCTCCATGGAATGATTTTGGATTCTGGTAGGTACCATGGTAAAAAAGCACTCTGGCTGAGCTCCTGTGTACTTCAATATAAGGACAAAACAGAAAGGAGGCAATATAAAAAATTTGTCCACAAGAGGGGTCTTTTTTGGGAAGATTTATTCCATATACCCTTCCTGAAATGAGCAGGAGATATGCAATTACAAAATAGTAAGTATAAAGATCCTAAGGGTCTGGGTACTTGGGAGCATTAAGACCAGTTCTGCCCTGAACTATGTCTTGTAGGTAGAATTTATCTCTCAGATTGGAGTCTGAACACTGTGTTAAGAGTAAGAGAATCTCTGTTGGTTAACTGTAAATCACTTACTTCTCTGTACCTGAATTCCCACAGGTGGGAATGGGAACCAGATAAATGGTTCTAAACTCTTTTTTGGGGTAGTGGGTAGGGGCAGGAATCTAGGAAATCTGGTAAAAGGTATCCATATTTCTTCCTAGGAAAGTGTTCTTAATGCATCTCATACAAAGTCAAAAGGGCCACATGGCTCCTGTTGGCCCAAGTACTAAAGAGCCCTTTCCTGCTTTAGAACTCTATGGAAAGTGTTTTGACCTTATATTGAAGGTCTCATCTCATTAAAACATATATGCTGTTAAAATAGTAAATATCCAGTTGAAAAATATTTCTTCTCAAATATGTTATTTCGTTTTCTGCCTAAAATGGTATATGGAATGAAGACTCTTTAAGGAAGAGTTTTTAAATATAACAGGCTAAGCAGTTTGTAAAGTATTAGTAAAAGTTACAGGCAATTGGAGATACATCCTCCTGTGTTTATATTATACAATCATAAGCTGGAAGTATCTGTAAGGTACTAGGATATATTAGTTTTCTATTGCTACACAACAAATTACTCTAAAATTTAATGTCTTAGAACAGACATTTGTCATCATACAGTTTGTCAGGGTCTGGAATTTAGGAGCAGTTTACCTGGGCAATTCTGGCCCAGGGTCTCTCATGAGATTACAGTCAAGATCCCGGCCAGGGGTGCAGTCATCTACAGGCTTGCCTAGGGCCATGTGATTTATTTTCAAGGTGGTGCACTCACATGGCTGATGGTAGAAAACCTCAGTTCCCTACTGTCTGTTGGCAGGAGGCCTCAGTTCCCTCCCACACGGGCCTCTTCAGAGGACAGCCTGAGAATCTTTATAACATAGAAAATGGTTCCCCTCAGAAGCAGGGGTCCCAGAGAGACTGAGAGAGAACCCCTAATGCCTTTAATGACCAAGGCCTAGAAGTGACATTCTATCACTTCTTTCATCTTCTATGCAATTAGAAACAAGTCATGTAAGACCAGACCATATTCAATGAGACAGAAATTAAGTTCTACCTCTTGAAGGTAAGATTATCAAGTAATTTATGGATATGTTTTTAAGCCAGCACAAAGAATCTCTCTAGATCATTAAATATCTTCCTGACATAGAAAACTATTCTTGGTGAGATGAAATGACTAGTCCAAAAGGACAGCAAGTAAATGACAAAGGCTAAGATTATTTAAGTCTCTGAACCTCCATGTAACTGGTTTAAAAAAAAAAAAAGCAGTATGAAACCAGCTAATAAAGTTTAGGCCTTTTAAAATGTTTTTTATTTATTTTTTAAGAGAGCATGAGCAGGGAAGGGGCAGAAAGAGAGGAGGACAGAGTATCCGAAGTGGGCTCTGTGCTGACAGGCTGGCAGCAGCGAGCCTGATGTGGGGCTCAAACTCACGAACCGTAAGATCACAACCTGAGCCAAAGTCTGATGCTCAACCAACGGAACCATCCAGATGCCCCTAAAGTTTAGTTTTTAATGTAAGAGGGAGAAACGAGAGACCATTTCTCACCAGACGGTATTGATAAAAAATAAATACATAAAGAAAAAAGTTTCTACATAAAAAAAATTGAACATTTAGGAAGAATTGGTCTTTTTTAGTTTCATTGTCTATTTAGGTACAATGGTTTTTTCATACTATAACCATGCTCTCTACAGAGCTATCCCCAACAAAAGCTATTTTTAGGAATGTAGGTGTATCTGCCACCAAACCAATGGTGGTACATTTCTTAGGCTGACCTCCACAGCCTATTTGACCTGTTTAATTTGAAGAATCGTACCTTTAAGGCAAAAGGGGACTTTTATTTGTCTTCATTTCTCCTTTCTTACACTCTTCAGTGCAGGCTGATAAAGTCTTCGGTAGGACAGAATAAAGAAACAGAGACTATTAAATACACCAAAGCTGTCCTAGGAGAGCTGGTCCATCTCAGTAAGAGGAAGGCATTGAATCTTGTTTGTGTTCCACTTAGGAAAGTGTGAGACCTATGTCTAAGAAACCTTAATGACCAAAATTGTCCTTCCAGGGTGGAGCCAGGAACAAAGCCTATAAAATCCCCAAGAACTTCTAGGCTTCCCACAGAGGAAGCAGGATCCTCCAGGATCTATAGTCCTGAAGGGACTATAAAGAAGGAGTGAAGATGGAAAGTGTCCCCGGACTTCATTCAAGATGAGCTCTAGGTCTATTGAAAGAAACCTTAATTGCAAAGAAAAGAACAGAAATATTTAGAAATTTTGGAATTTTTGCATGTTCCAAATCAGATGCCAGTGAGGTTATTTTCTTTTTTGTGAAGAGCTAGACTTGAGCTCTTCCAGACACAATATGGGCAGAACTGAGGGCTTACATTTGAGCAATCATATTCCAAAGCCTACCACCAATGCTGGAGACACTAAGGCTGCTAGAGTAGATAGGACAGAGTACTAGTAGAGAGTTACAAAGAACCCTGGACATCTGTGGACAGTCTCTCAGGTATTCAGCAGAGTAATGATTAGCACACGTATGGGAGGAAAGTACTCAAGGCTGGGCAAAGAACCATCTAAGAAGACTAGAGGGAATAGTGCCTGATGCTTACAGAGAGCTGAGAATAGTGCCTGTTCCTACCAGCCAGATGGATCAACCTCATAATTCATAGGACGATGGAGAGAGGACTCAGTAGTGTCTTGCTTCAGAAGGGTCTTGCTTCAGTAGTGGGGAAATATTAGTCCTAAATACAGTTCTAACAGATCTTAAAAAACAAGATCCAAGGAGCATCGGGGCGGCTCAGCTGGTTACACGTCCGACTTTGGCTCAGGTCATGATCTCATAGCTCAAGAGTTCAAGCCCCACACTGGGCTGGCTCTGTGCTGACAGCTCAGAGCTTGGAGCCTGTTTCAGATTCTGTGTCTCCCTCTCTCTGTCCCTCCCCTGTTCATGCGCTCTCTCTCTCAAAAAGAAACATTTAAAAATGTTTAAAAAAACAAAAAAAGATCCAATAGCTGAAACTGTTTCCAACTATAGGCATACCTCAGAGATACTTACGGGTTCTGTTCCAGATTGCTGCAATAAAGTGACTATCTTAAAAAAGTGAGTCAAATCAACTTTTTGGTTTCAGAGTTCATATGAAAGTTATAGACCATTATTATGTGGTCTATTAAGTGTGTAATAGCATTATGTTTAAAAAAATACATACCTTAATTTAAGATACTGTATTGCTAAAAACAATGTTAACCATCATCTGAGCATTCAATGAGTTGTGATCACTGATCACAGATAACCATAACAAATACAATAATAATGAAAAATGTGAAATATTGTGAGAACTACCAAACTGTGATGCAGTGATACAAAGTGAGCAAATGCTGCTGGAATGGTGCCAATAGACTTAAACTTGATGCAGGGTTGCCACAAGCCTTCAATTTGTAAGAAACGCAGTAGCTTAAAGTGCAATAAAGTAAACTGTAATAAAACAAAGTATGTCTGTAATTTAACTGCATCCCAGAACAAAGCGCAAAGATTTTTATAGGGATACAAAAATATCCAGCACCCCAAAAGATTAAAATGACAATGTCTGGTATCCAGTCAAAGATCATCAGGCACGCAGGAAAATGTGACCCATAATGAGGAAAAAGTCAACTAACTGAAATGGATCCAGAAGTAACACAGATAATAAAATTAACAGAGAAGAACATTCAAACACTTATTTTAACTGTATTCCATATGTTCAAAAAGTTAAATGGATTCAGAGAGATACAAAAAAGACCAACTAGAGTTCTTGGAAATGAAAACACTAATGTCTGAAATTAAAACACTCACACACACACACACACACACACACACACAGACTAGAATTAGCAGGAAATGATACATTGCAGGAAAAAAATTACTAAACTTGAAGACATGGCAATAGAAACTATATAAAATGAAACAAAAAAATAATTAAAAAATAAAAGTACATTCATGAACTATGGGACAGCTTTAAGCAGCCTCATACACGAAACTAGAGTCCTAAAGAGTAGACAAAAGAAGGTACAGAAAAAGTATTTGAAGAAATTATGGCCCAAAATTTTCCAAATTTGATGAGAACTAGAAACTAACAGATCTAAGTCCAAGCACACAGACAAAACAACTTGAAGAAAACTACACCAAATATTATTATCAAATTGTTCAAAAAAAAGTCATAAAGGGAAAATCTTAAAAGCAACCCAAAAAAAAGACAAGTTATAATACAGAGGAACAAAGATAAATATGCCATTAGAGTCCTCAACAGAAACAATGCAAGTGAGAAGACAATGGAGCAAAATCTTTAAAGAACTGAAAGAAAAATAATTCTATACTCGGTGAAAATATCTTTCAAAAACAAAGACAAAATAAAGAATTTTTCAGACACACAAAAGCTGAAAGAAGTCATCACCAGATGATCTGCATTATAAGAAGTGTTAAATGAAATACTGTAGGAAGAAAGAAAATAATACCGGATGAAAATATGCATCTATATAAAAGAAAAAACTAAAGAGTGCTATAAGATAACTATGTTGTTAAATATTTAAGAGATTTTTTTGTTATTAAATCTTTTGAAAATATACTTAACTATTAAACAAAATTGATAACAATGTATCATGAGTTTATAACATCTGGGTAAGTGTAACTTATGACTGAAAACATAATATAAACAGCATAAACACAACAAGAGCATAAATGCCAGAAGGAGGGATATTGAAGCAAACTATTATTCTAATTATATTCTATACCATATATTCTAAACACAAAGCCATTTGTGAAGTGATATAATACTGCTTGAAGTAGGTTAGCATAAGTTAAAAGATGTATATTATAAATCAGAAAGCAACCCCCAAGTAATAAGAGAGCAACAGTTAATAGGTCAACAAAGAAGATAAAATGAAACCATATAAGATATTCAATAAACCCAAAAGAATTAGAAGAAGGGAACAGGGAACACAGGAGACAAATGTTTTTGAGAAATGGATAGCAAAATGATAGACTGGACCTAGCCAAACAAATGTTAAATGCAAATATTCAAAACAACACAATTTTAAGGCAGAAATTCTCAGACTGAATAAAAAACAAAAGTGTAACTATATGCTGCTTACAAAAAATACACAAATATAAAGACACAAGTTAAAAGTAAAAGAGAAAGATATGCCATGCTAACACTCATCAAGTTAAAACTATAGTAACTGACTATATTATAACATCAAACAAAGTAGATTTCAGAGCAAAAAATATTACCAAGGATAAAGATATTTATTTCATGGTGATAAAAAGGTCAACCCATCAAAAGAACTTAAGAGTCCTAAGTATATTTGCACCTAATACATGAAGCTAAAACTGGTTTGCAGGGAGAAACAGAAAAATCCACAATTATCCTTAAAGAGTTTAATACCCTCCCCAATAATTGTTAGAACAAGTAGGCAAAAAAAATATAATAATAATAATAGTCAAGGATACAGAAGGAGTAAACAACCAACTTGACCTACTAGAAATGTCTAGAACATTCGAGGCAGCAAGAACAGAATATATATTCTTTTCAACTGCGTATAGAAACCTTTGCCACCATAGGACATATCTGGGCCATAAAATGTGACTTAACAAATTAAGTGATCAAGTCATATAAAGCACGCTCTCTGATCACAATAGAATTAAATTAAAAATCAACAACAGGAAGATATCTGGAAAATCCCCAAATTCTTATGAACAGATTTTTTAATAGTCCAT